GCACATGGATGCACTTGTGAGTCTGCAGGCCTCTGCCTCTGTTCTTAGAGACACAGAGGTGAGATCTGATTGGATAAAAGCTCTACTTAAAACAAGCTGCACTGGAAGCAGAGCAACTGAGGAAGACAGTAGCTGTGCAATGAGAACATAAGATAATGGGAAAAATATTTCTTTACATTATAATACATGTAGTGTAGAGATTATTAAATTATAAAATAGCTATAACTTTGTGATTCTGTTTAAGCCAGCATAGAAGGCCTTGCAGGCCCACCACTGGTATAAACAGATGTTTGTGATTAGACTCAGGTGTTTGTTCCAGATGAGCGGTAAAGCGTAGTGGCACGTTCTTACCTTCCTGATGAAGTTGACGTGACATTCCCCCTGCTGGACATGTGGAGGACATTCAGGAGGAACCCTGTAGGCAGAATGAGCTTTCCTCCGCTCAGACGCGTAGAGAACCGGAGACAACAATCTCACGTTCAGCACATTATCCCCGTCCTTCAGCAAGTCTCTGACCGGGAAGTCCTACACAAACAAATGATGCACGTGAGAAAAACGTGCATGGTGCGATGGGAACCGCTTGTTTTCCGGTGAACGTACATATCTACGAAACATGTTGTCCGTCTTCCCGACGACGATTCCGTTGAGCCAAACGGATGCTGCGGTGTCAATGCCGTCGAAGACGAGCAGCACCTTCTGATTGGCTCTGTTGATGAGCGCACAGGTGAGTCAGGAGCACGAGCAGGAAGTGCTTTAGAACAATAACAACGTTCATCACACCGACCTCAGCTGGCTGGAGCCGGTGAACGTTGTCGTGTATGTCCAGTTATCGAAGGCGATCCACCGATAAGACACGTCGTTAAACCTGAAGTACGGGTCCTGAGAGACAAGTACACAATGATTCACTGATTCTATTTAATTCCTCTCAGTTTATGAGTTATTACTCACACCTGCTGCTCAAGCATGTGTTGGTATTGTTATGCCAAAAAAGGGCAGTATCCAGGATTTAAACATTTTTGCCCCAACCCTAACGAATCAAATATAAAGCTTGAGTTTAATCTGTGATCCGTCTTCACTGTTTACATGTTGAACAAAATCTGATCAGTCCGATCCGCTGCAGCGTCCAATCACATGACAGATGAACAGTGAGGGGGCGTGTCGGCCGTTAAAACGCTTCCTGGAAGTCTGTTCTCGTGGGTCCTCGCTCATGGCTCCTCAGAGCAGAAATAAGGGGCCTTTCTCTACATGCGTACTTCTCTGTACTTGTGAAATCGTGGACTTTTGAAACGTCATCAGTCTCAGCCCAAGTACTGTTCCAATTCAAAGTTCACATCAAGCCAAGCCATGTCCAAATGCCCGGATGTGGCTCGCTCCGCCCATTTTACCGGGTATGCATCGGAGGTGACTTGTCTGTACTTGGGACAGCCAAATATCCCAGAATGCATTTTGCACCAGCAACAGGAAACAACGGCGGAGGAGAAATCACACAAATGGAAGTTGAAACTTTCGAATACTACTGTTGTTAAGTCACAGAAAGTAATTTTAGGATGTTTTGAGGCGAGAAGTTAGTTGTTTAAGCATCAAATCTGTGGTCGGTTTGTCAAGATTCAGCCAATTTAAAAATATGCTCCGACGATTTCGGAGATGTGAGGTGTTGCTAGTGGGACCGGCAGTAAACCAGCACCGGGGGCTCAGCGCTCATGTTACCCGCCTGGAACTGCCTGATCTCTGCAGTAAACCCCGCCAGCACCGGGGGCTCAGCGCTCAGGATTAAACTCATTAGCAAGACCAGCTGAGGTGGTGATGTCATCAAGTAAGCTGCTGTTTCAATTGTCCGTACTGCGTTCTCTGGACTTGTGAACTTGGGTATTGAGAAAGGCCCAAGAGCTTTGGAACGGCAGTCAATATGGCGGCGCAGAACAACTTCCGGTTCGAGCGAGGAAATGATCCTCGCTTGAACCGGAAGTTGTTGAGGAGCGAGGAAATGAGGAAATGAGGAAATGACAATTGAACCGGTTTCAACCGGAAGCAATCCTCGCCGGATCGGAAGTTGGAAATGACGTCTGATGGAGGACGTCTTTAGCAGGACGTCTGATGTACCCCAAGACCCGTTTGAGAGGAGAACTTTGAGGAGAACCTTCAGCCAAAGAGCTGATATCAGATCAGCCTGACCTCACAATCAGACAGCAGACTAGCGGGAAAGGGAAGCAGTACATGAAGCTTCTCCACTAGCTGAACACCAGACAGGTTAGGCTAGCTGGATGACGTCATGCTAATAACTATTATAATATAATATATAATATATAATATATAATATTATACTGAGACTATAATAAGATGTCCTGACGTGTTTGTCAAAGTGTTATTTTCTGCTTTTTTCATGTTGGAATAAAGGTTAAATATTTAACTGTAAAGTAGTAATACGTGTTTGATACCTTAATGTTTTTGCATTAAATCATTCTGGGATGTTTGCTGACATTGATTGGATGTGGAACAGCCCGACAGAGAACATGTTCCACCAGCTCCACTGACCTCCGGAATAAAATAAATCGGAACAATTGTTTTAAAGGTGTATTGTACACGCTCACATGAAGTACTTGATGTACCTACCTGGATGTATCCCTGCTGCTGTAGAGCTGAATGAACACATCCGGGAACCTCAGCGGGCAGCGACACTGACCCGTCGGAGTTTGAGAGACTCCATTTACCGTCCAGACTCCGAGTCACTGAACAAAACACCGAGAAAACTCCCAGAAACAAACACAAGAAAACACAAACACCGCGTACAAACAGACTCATATTGTTGCTTTGTATATATGACACGGTACGTCACGGGAATACTACTTTAAATGGACTATCAGAGTTTTGTTGTGGTTCTCTGAACAGCCTCTTCCTAGTTTGTCACGTGACCCTCCTCGTGACAGTCATGTGATCAGTATACGCATAAATACATAATAAAAAGAACATGTTTGTGCGTGGAATCAAAATGATAAAGAATAAATAAAGTAGTCTTGTAGTAATAAATAGTATTAAAAAATCAAGTAGAAGTATTAGTTACTAAAGTAAAGTTAATTGTATTTTTATACCACACACACTATAAACACTGTTATTGATATTGTTATACATTTTTGAATACCTAGAAGCATACTTTTGCATTATGTGTCTTGTGATGGAAGAAGTATTCAGAAGTTTAAACTTAAGTGAAAGAATGCAATCGTGTTAAAATACTATTGGCTTCAAAACATACTTTAGTTACTAAAGTACTCATCGTGTACTTGGTGGGTGTTGACGTATCTGTGAATTATTTGAGTCACCGTGACACACTGAAATTATTTTGTCAAATATATATGGCAGTTTAACTGAGCGCAAATACAAATAAACTAATTTACCTCTTTATGATCAAGAGGCTTATTAAGAGGATGAATCAAGGATATAAACTCTATACTGTGTGCTGTATTTAAACAAATAAACACAGCCGACACTTATGATTTAAGTAACTTTATTGAAGGGAAACTAAAAACAGAAACAGAGCCACAAGTTGATTATCAACCATTTGCTTTGCCTCCATATTTTATGGCTACAAGAAGACAGTGTTCGATTGGGCGTAAAGCTAACAGCTCGTCTACCGGCTTCTAAATAACAGAAATAGACCGCCTCCGAGGGAACCTCATCTGTTCGGCCTTACAATCGACATCTGCAGAAACATATCAGATATAATAGCCTACCTTTATTAACATGCATAAAATACAACATTGAAGTTCTTATATTTTCCTTAACATAGAGATATACTGCTGTGCTTCTCTGTACACACTGAGAGTGGAATAAGATACGTCCTCCTCGGGTAATAGATTCCTACACTAAAGATCAGAAGATCAGACTGACGTCACACCAGAGCCACCAACCAGATCAGCTCTTTACCGCTTTCAGATAATAACCTAATTTAAACCTTTTAAAACTCAGAGTTGACAGGTATGGCAAAAGACCGGCTTTTCTGTAAGTGCTTTGAGAATCCAGCTTAGAGTGAAAGTCATTATTAATGGTCACGGGGCTGACGGGGCTCAGGAGGCGTGAGCAGAGTGAACGTTATCACCCGGCGGTGACTCTTATTTAAACCTCAGAGAACTGGCTCGTGTCCTGGAGAGGAAACACTATCTTCTTATAAGCGCGCAGGTGGAAAAAGAAAAAGGGGTAAAAATGCTGATTAACCAAAAAGAGAAAAGAAAAGGTGAAAAAGAATCCCTTGTTTGTTTGGTCTGAACCAGCAACAACGTTTCCACCAGCTCTCCAGATGACGCATCACATCGCGTACTTGTGTGTCCAGTCTTTTGCCATTTTGATGTATCTGCAGAGAGAACACATGAAGAGATGACTTCAGGAAGTCTTAAGCAAACACACGCCATGTTGGCGTTATAGATCTGGGTTAGTTAGAGCACATGCACTCCAGCACGTCGCTTTGTGTCAGTATATGCATCAGAAATATACACTTTGTACAAACTAAGCTTCTCAGTTTTAAACGGTGGAATACTTCTTTGATGAACGATAAATGTTTGTTTTTCACACAAAAGAGTTTCATGCCGAGTTAGTGAAGAAGTTCACACGCACAGAAAACTGCTTCTGCTACAAGTAAAGGCGCATTCCCACATGAGATATAGATATATATCTATATAAAAAGGAACGCAGAAATGTTTTTATCATTTTAATATCAAATACCAGATTCAGTTAAATATATGAAAATGTGCATTTCCAGTCATTGTGATGAGTTGAGCTGCAAAGATTAGTAAAGTATTTTAAATATTTTCTCCAAATGTACTAAAACCTTCTCTTTGTTGTATACTGTAACTATAAACGCTGATTAAAACAATACATTAGAGGACGTAAACAGGGAGCATGTGATCATGTCGGGAAAGGTCTGAAGATTAATAGATAATAAGTCTGTTATTTGCAACACGGATGTGATGATTAGCGAGATACCTGGAGAGAAGCTGAAGCTCCAGATGTAAAGGTTTGAGTAAACGCAGCACTGACTCTTTGTATGAAGTCTTAATATGTCTTAATTCATCTGACTTCCTGCTTCATGCGTTATTAGAACATCTACCTGCTTCCATCTGCCAACCTGTTCTTCAATAAGCAAAGATAAAAACATGTCCTTCAAACCCAATGTTGAGATGAATGTAGTCCCAGGAAGCCACTGGTGTCTGTATTTCAGCTATGGAGATCAGCTTCATACGTTACTTGTTGGATGTATTTAAAATGTTACATCATTGCATGACCTGCAGAATAAACTGCTCCAACAGGAACATGTTCAAACTCAAATGGTCCTCATTGTTAGTTTCAGACATCACAGCTCTGTTTGGCAGCCAACTGTTGGCGAGTCCTTGAATGCACCACCATGAACCTTAAACAGCTGACAGAGCCCCAATCTCAAGTCTCTTAAAGGGAATCTTCAATCATACTAAGAAGGATATTTCAACTTGTAGTGAATGATGGAAAATGGTCATTTTAGAAGAAACCCTTTTTATTGTCATATACACATACATGAAATTTGACCTCTGCATTTGACCCATCCCTGTATATAGGGATGGGTGGGCTGCCAATGACAGGCGCCCGGGGAGCCGGGGGCTCAGTGTCACTACGACACGTGGCACGTCCCAGTCCATTGACCTTCGGTTACCAGACAACCCTCTTAAGCCAGTGAGCCACGGTCGCCCCCGTATTTATTTTTGTTAAATATAAATACTCTGTACTGTGGTGCATTATAAACAGAAATGACCCTTTCCTCTGATATGTTACAAACAAATACTCATGTTTTAAAGGGCTCCAGACAAATTCACATTTTAAATGGAAGAAACATTGTATTTATGTCTCATCTGTCAGTGGGTCTGCGAGATCTACTGGATCCTCTTTGCTCTGGCCTGCATTAGAGAAACCTTTGCATCTGTGGGGAGGAGCACCAACACGTTGAACTACTGGTTATCTACAGCAACAGGACTCACCCGCAGGTTATCAAAGTGCACGTAAAAGACCAGAACATCACAAACAACAGAGCAAACCCAGAACACCAGAACAAGATGCAGCGCTGGCTCCTGACCTTACCCTAGAGCAAGGCATACTTCGTGGTCCACTCCTGAGCTAGTTTATTGTACCTGACAGAGTGAAACTACGTCAGGTACTCATTCCACGAGGCGTCTGAAGGTCGCACTTATTGTGGATAATAAATCATAAACGTATACAAATGCGCTGCCAGTTTAGTAGGAATAGCTAACTAACGAACAAACAGAGCTGCAGCACATCCTCCATGAAGGCTACATCTTCACTTTGTCTCCACTGTTTCAGAGAGATGCTGATTCATGGGGACTCCGGAGGCTGCAGCTTGTGCTGCTGTTAAAGTCTGATGCATTATGCTGAGAGTCGGTTCTATTATTTTGTCCACCCTGTTCATGTATAATGCAAAACTATTCAAAAGCATAACAAGCTGCCGCCTCCAAAAACCTTCGTTAAGTTGAATCAACAACCCTCTGAAACTGATTGGACCAATGTACCCAACAAACTGGCGTCACAGTGAACGATGCGGACCGGAGAGAAAATAGGTCCTTTCATATCTAGAGACACGCTCACAACGCATATAGAGAATATGTACACTTACTTCGTACTATCTGTTTTGTAGATCTGTGCGATCTCTGGCACTAGTGGGTCATCGGGGTTTGGGTCACATAGGAGTGAGCAAATGGAGAGAAGAACTACAAGAAACAGAACTAATTAAAATACAACATATGCATTTTAGTCCGTCTACCAGCCTCGTTTATTGGACTCACAGAACCCTGGAGTGAATGTGTGACAGGCGTCATGTGCAGGTGGACGGTACCTTTAGAAATAGTAAGCGCAGGAGACCACTGTGATCGGAGGATATCCAGACAGATACTGCCGTTACTGTTAATATTTGGGTGGTAAATTCTTGTTGTAAATGCAACCTGGAAGGAAATAAGAAGATAAAGACAGTGAGGACAGTGAGGACAGTGAGGACAGTGAGGACAGGGCACACGTCAGGTCAATGCTATGCAGTTCAGATTCCAACAGGAGGCGGATCAACCACTGGAAAGACCGGTATCACTTTATGAGCGTTGTAAACAATCAAACTGCTGGGCTCGGTGGAAATGTTTGTTACGAATATAAGCTCTTCTTATACAGAGACAATGTTTGAACACTGAATAGTTCACATGTTTGATTACTTTAATGTGGTAAACTAGATTAGTGTGTCACAGGAGGGATAAACAGGTGTGTGGCTCGATAAGAGTCTCTGCTCAGGTGTGAGTGAGCGTACCTTGGGTGGTTTGAAGGGGTAGTCTGTTGGAAAATGAATCGTCAAGAAGAAAACCCCTCCCTGGTATGGACTGTCACACTGAAAGCAAGAAGGACATTTCCATATTTCAGTATAGAATAATCTAAAACTGCCCGTCCACAGCTTCTCATTATCAAGTCAAATGTCAACCTTTATCTCGTGAATACATTTAACCAGGAACACAACCTCAGTGACAGATAGCAACATCCTGCTGCCTTACAGTAAAAACAGAGATCAATGACGTCATAAAGGATCTACTCACAGGTCCCATGATGGTGGCCTGCCAGTGAAACACTGTGAGAAGAGAAAGTGAAGGTAAGGAAACAAGGAAAGGGCACAAGTATGTGATCTGGCAGGAGATAGTCGTCTAAGGAGCACCATTTCTCATGTAGAACATGGTCATGCTCCATGGTGGTGAGGAGTAGAACATGGTCAT